ACTTCTTGGAAAATTCCTACCATTTTTCAAAATGTTCAATATCGAATTGCCAATTTTCAGGATTTTGAAAAAAATTTGATTTTCAAGCCGTATATTTTATATATTTCAAAAATTATCTAATAAATTTTTTTTACAGATAATGGCCTCCAGAATTTATTTTCAGTTTTGTTTCTTTAAAAATTTCTACCCAGTTTTCCACAATGGTCAACAATTAATGGTAACTTTACAATTTTCAAAAATTTTTAATTTTAAACAGAGTATTTTGAAAATCTTATTCCGGGACTGTAAACACGCTGTTTTTCGAATGAGCATGTCGAGATCTATATCTTGAATTTGATTGTGAATTTTTAGGCAACTTTTCTAAAGTTCCACTTTTCGATACTCTCCCCTTATGAAACTTTCGACAATTTTTCGACCACTTTCGAAAATTACCTAAAGAAATTTTTCTGTAGATTACGAAGCTCCAGAATTTATTTTCAGCCTCATTTCTTCCGAAATTTTTTTCATTTTTCCAAAATCACTAATCCAAAAAATGATAATTCTCAGGATTTTTGAAAAATTTACATTCAAACCAAATACGTAAAAAATTTTGCTTCGGAGCCATAAACACGCCATATTTTTCGATTCAGCTTGTACATTTTTCGGCAACTTGTGTAAAAGGTCTATTAAAAGGTCCATTATAAAATTTTCGGCCAGTTTTCTACAACCTTCAAAAATGACCCTGACATATTTTTCTAAAGATTATAAACTCCAAAATTTGTTTGCAGTTTCATTTCTTCGAAAATTCCTACCATTCTTTTAGAATCGTCAAAATAGACGCAGCAATTCTTGATATATTTTAAAAATTCCATTTTGAAATAAAATATTTTGACTTGTTTCTGATTTTTTGGGATCTTCGCTAAAAACTCAATTTTTCAATTAAGTAAGACATTTTTGACTTCTTTTAAGCACCCTCTATTTTCGGTTTCAGTTCTTCGAAAATTTCTACCAAAAATTGTAATTTTTTGGAATTTTTGAAAATTTACATTCAAACCGAATACTTCGGAAATCTTGCTTCGGAGCCATAAACCCGCCATATTCTTCGATCCAGCTCGTAAATTTTTTTGCAACTTTTCTAAAATGCCAACTTTCCTTACTCTATCATCAAATTTTCGACCAGTTTTATACCAGCTTCAAAAATGACCCAAAGAGATTTTTCTGGAGATTATGACCTCTAAAAGCGCTTTTTGAGATATTTTAAAAATTCCGTTTTTAAATCAAATAATTCATAAAATTTTGGCCTGGGATCATCTACCATGGTTTTTACTTTATTTTTCTGGATTTTTTTTGAGATCCTCGCCAAATACTCCATTTTTCAATTGAGTAAGAAATTTTTGACTTCTTTTAAGCACCCTCGAAATTTACAAAAAATATCGTTTTGTAAATTTCGACCTCAAGAACTTGTTTTCGGCTTTATTTCTTATTTTCTCTGACTTTTCCAAAATCACCCAAATAAAAATCCGCCAATGTTTGAGATAACTATGTGTTTAAAAATGCCACTTTGAAATCGAATATATTTGAATTCAACTCGCCAAATTCTGTATCCTGGAATTTTTTCTGGATTTTTAGGCAACTTTTCCAAAAGCTCCATTTTTCTATACTTTCCTATACCAAAAAAAAATTGGACTATTTTCTTAACCATTCTTGAAAGTTACCTAAATAGATTTTTCTGTACACTACGACCCCCAAATTTTTTTCCGCTGAATTTCTTTAAAAATTCTTACCGTTTTTCCATAATTGCCAACGTGTTGTAAAATTTTTCAAAAATTTGAATTTCAAACCGAATATTTCATAAATCTTAATTTTCGACCGCAAATACGCTATATTTTTCAAGTGAGCACGTCGAGATCTATATTCTGGAATTTTTGTGAATTTTTACGAAAAGCTCCATTTTTCGATACTCCACTTTTATGAAATTTTCGATAATTTTTCGACCACTCTTGTAAATTTTCCAAAGATATTTTTCTGTACACTAGGAGCTCCAGAATTTATTTTCGGGTTCAGTTCTTCGAAAATTCCTACCATTTTTTCAGAATTGTCAAAATTAAATGTGCTAAATTTTGAAATATTTAAAAAATTCGAGTTTGAAACCAAATATTTCGAAAATTCTACGACTGCTTGGGGATTTTCGATATTCTCCTGCAGTCTTGGTCAGCGACCATCAGGCACACTGTTTTTTGATTTAGCATGTTGAAATCTATCTCCCAGATTTTTTTGTGAATTTTTAGGCCACTTTTCCGAAAGCAAAAATTTTCAGTGTATTAATTTTTTTTTGCTTTTCCAAAATTACGAAAACAGATTCTTTTGTTAATTTCAACAACCAGAACTGGTTTTTGGCTTGATTTATTCGAAAATTTCCAGCATTTTTCCAGAATCGCCACAACAAAATGCAGCAATTTTTATTTATTTTGACAATTTTACTTTAAAACCAAATATTTAAAAAATCTTAGCCCGAGGCACGTTATTTTGCAATTCAACTCGTCGAGATCTCTATCCCAGATTTTTGTCTGTATTTGTAGATAACTTCGCCAAAAATTCAATTTTTCAATAGAGTATGAAGTTTTTTACTTTTTTAAGCACTAATATATTTATGATTTTCCCAAAATCGTCAAAATGAAATATATAAATAATTTTTGCGATATTTTAAAAAGTCCGATTTGAAAACGAATATTTCGAAAATTTTGGTCTGGGACCATCAACACGCTATATTTTTTGACTCAATTCTCCGAAATCTCTGTCTCAGAATTTTTTGTGGATGAATGAAATTAACAAAATTATTCTTATGTTAATTTCCACCTCCAGAACTTGTTTTTAGTTTCTCATGTTTGAAAATGTCTTTGATTCTTCCAAAATTCTCAAAATGAAACATGGTAATTTTCAAGTTCAACCGGAACAAATATTTCGAAAATCCTGTTCCGAAACACTAAGGGCGCTGTATTTTTCGAATGAGCACGTCGAGATCTATTTCCTGGAATTTTTGTGGATTTTTAGAAAAAGTTCCATTTTTCGATACTCCACTTTTATGAAATTTTCGATAATTTTTCGACCACTTTTGAAAATTTTCCGAAGAGGTTTTTCTGTACATTAGGAGCTCCAGAATTTATTTTCAGTTTCAGTTCTTCGAAAATTCCTACCATTTTTCCAGAATCGTCAAAATTAAATGTGCTAAATTTTGAGATATTTTAAAAATTCGAGTTTGAACCTGAATATTTGGAAAATTATACGATTGCTTGGAGATTTTCGATATTCGCTTGCAATCTTGGTCCGAGACCATCAACACACTGTTTTTCCATTCAGCATGTTGAAATCTCCTAGAACTGGTTTTCGCCTTGATTTATTCGAAAATTTCCATCATTTTTCCAGAATTGCCAAAACAAAATGCAGTAATTTTTGAGATATTTTGAAAATTTTAAGTTAAAGCCAAATATTTAAAAAATCTTGACTCTAGACCATTGCCGCTATTTTTCAATTCAACTCGTTGAGATCTGTATCCCAGATTTTTTTCGGGATTTCTCCAAGGCATCAATTTTTCAATAGAGTATGAAATTTTTGACTTTTTAAGCACCCTCGAAAATGGTTAAAAAAATGTTGTGTTAATTTTGGCTTCCATAATGTGTTTTCGGCTCCATTTCTTAAAATATTTACGATTTTCCCAAAATCGTCAAAGTGAAATATAGTAAGTAATAGTTTTGGCATATTTTAAAATTTGAAAAGTCCAATTTGAAAACGAATACTTAGTTCGAAAATTTTGGTTCGGGACCACCAACACGCTATATTTTTTTATTCAACTCTCAGAAACTCCCCAAAATTTGTCTCAGAGTTTGTGTGGATTTTTAGGCGCCAAAAACTGAATTTTTTAAATGAATGAAACTTTTGAGTTAAATTTAAACATCATTAAAAATTACCAGTTTATTTTTTTAAGGAACTGAATCAGGTAAAACATACAGTCGTAACAGAAAAAGTTTTTAGATTCAGATTTTTTTAATCGTTTATGCTATTTTTTCGTTACACAAAAACTTATCATACATTACACACTATTTAATTTTGGAATTTAATAAAAGTTGTGTTAAAAAACCATGTTTAAATAAAATATATTTTGTGAAGAGTCGGACCAAATGCCGCAATTTTAGATGAAGAGGATACAACAAAAGAAATTTTTGATGATTCGAGCATCATTGATCGAGCTCGTGTTAAATTACCTTTTTGTCGAGTGTACTTTCGCCTACTCGTGTTCTTTCAGATGCGATGTTAGCATTATTTAACATACATTAATCCTTAAAAATAAATAAGAATATTTTAAAACACAGTTCGTTTTAAAAAATATTACTGAAAAATTACGCTGGTTTATGATTGATTTTACCCATCCTAGTGAATACACGTGGAGAATTTTTCATTATCCTGTTATATGAATATTTCTATTATCCTAAGTACATAAAGGGGCCACAGATGCTCCAAACCGAATGAAATTGCAACCTCGCAGTGCCCTTTGTTACGAAATAAAAATATAAACTCAGCCGTCAATCCCTTCTCAAAGATGTTCATTGTCGAGTCAAATCTGTTGTAGTTTTCTTTAACGTTCCTTTCGCCCACTCTCGACAGGAAGCTTCAACACTAAAGATTTTAATTTAACTCCCGTAATATCAATACAGACTTGAAGCCCGAAGTGCCTTTTTAGCAACTTTCATCCAGAATTACCTCTCTCCAAATAAAACACCGGAAGCAAATAATTATTTTTCTTCCCTTTACGCCCTCCACGAAGTGTCGCATAAATAATAAATAAACCGTTACGTAACCACCTAAATACTTACCAAAACACGATTGGGTATTTGCAGGTACGTTTTCCCAAGAAGCGGAGTATCTGCAAGTTTTCAAATTCTGCTCCTCAAATATTGAAACACAAACAAAACGTCCCAACCCTACCCAGCAGCCCTTAAAAATAGAAATGAAATTAAATGAGAGGCTGATCGATAGTAATTTTATTTGCCTAATATTAAATTATGTTACAGTGGGAAACGAAATTTACAAACAGGGTACAGCATTTAAATAATAATCACAATAATAATTCAACGATTTACAAATTGAGTCATTCGGGTATAGTGTCTTGATCTCTCACGAGATTTCTGGGTATCCCCAAGTTCCTCATCCTGGTTTCCAGTGCAATCCACTCGAGAAGGAAGCTGCAGCAGAAAAATACGACGTCAAATAACAGGTAATCGGAGAACCGTGATAAATTGGCGTCAACATTCAGCCTTGTTGTTTTAGTGGAACAAACAGTGTAATGATTTGATGTAAATTCGATGCAGAGTGCGTGGGAAATTATGACTAAAATAATAAATCTGAAAAAAATAGTAATGGGTGAAAATCTCTTCGTCGAGACAAGGTTAGATTAACCCTTATGGAAAAAATGAAGATATTCGTCGGTTTAGGGAAGTCTGATCACGTTCCTACAAAATTCACTCATTATTTGAGTCGCGTATAAATCTCTCTATAGTTGTTATCACCTTTCGCTTTGTTCATTGTGTCCTACTAATTCACCTATCTTTGAGGACTCTGAAGAATTTATATCTTCTAGTTAAAGTTTCAGGTTTATTTTATGCGTACTCGTCATTTTACGTTTTATTGATCATTGAACAATGAAAAAGTGTGGGCAATTCGTTGTAACATAAATTTTTTATTGTAAATTACCGTTGAGTGATGTATTAGTACCTACTTTCAACTACAGAGTGTCTATAAATGATTGTCAGATCAATTTGTTTGAAAGTTTAAAACTGTCCAAGCGTCGTGCTTACAATCAGAGTAAGTAATTTGATAGGGCACTCATTTTTAAACTGTTTCGGGAGAACTTTCCTCGCCTCTGACCCACAGTTAGTTCTGACTCAATAAAACAATTATTTATATGATTTACGTAAACAAATATCACACATAATGAAACCAGATTTTATTAAAAATACATTGTATGTTGTGAGACAATTTAATTTTTTTTGCGAAAATCTGGACGCCTAGACTAAAAAATAAAGGCGGATTCATAAATCACAAGTATAGGAGTTCCACAAAATGTTGAACATTGTTACATTATCTAAATTACTTTCCATTTTATTGGCAAAAAATGTGCCTGATAACACACGAATTTTTTGACTATTGAAGCTGAGGATACGGATTTTGCAGTTAAGCTCCGCCCCTCCGGCTCACGACGAACAAAAAAAATCGTCACAATTGAGACAAGGTGGGCGGGCGGGGCTTGTTTTGCTTTTTTTTCATATATACACAGTTTTCTCTTCACAACAAGAAACTGAAAATATGTTTAAAATGGTAAATTTTATCCCCCACACTTCTTTACAATTTTTTTTTAGTTTCCTTAAACTATACCGGGTGTTTCTTTTATTTGATACAACCCCTGTAACTTTTTTGTTCTAAAAGATAAACGTGTGGTTATTTGATCAAATTTGTATCATTTTAAAAGATCTATGTGATGGCAACCTCACAATTTTATTATCACTTCCGGTGGAACCGAAAATGACGTCAACTTAATTTTTTTTATGGAGCACTTGGTATACATATTTTTTCATAGATGGAAAGATTTATTTTTTGTAAAAAATATAAAGCAACCAATATTCTAAAATCAATACTTGAAAAGTCATTCAAAAAATAAACGAAAAATTAGTATCTATTGATGACAATCTAGTACCTTGAAAAATTGACACTCATGTTATTTATTCACATAAGCGATCTTTTAAAATATCCATATTTGCTCAAAAAACTATATGTTTATCTTTAAAAATAAAAAAATTATAGGGGTTGTATTAAATAAAAGAAACACGTGGTATATGTTAAGAAAAAAACAAAGTAAAAAAATAAGGCCCGCCCACCCGCCCCAATCTCAATTGTGATGAATTTTTCATTCGTTGTTAGACCGAGGGGCAGATTTTAATTGTAAAATCGATGTTTTTCGACGAAAATTTGCCACTTCAAACATGTTTTAAATATCTTGTCCTGTAAAGGCGATTTTGTATATTCAGAAATGAAGGCAAAATTTAAGCCCCGCCCACCCGCTGCCGTCTCATTTGTAACGACGTTATTCGTTGTGAGCCCGGGGGCGGAGTTTAATTGCAAAATCCTTATTTCTCTACAAGAACTTACCATCTGAAACGTAGTTTTAAGCATAATGTTGTCTAAAGAATTGATCATGTTCTCATTAGCATTATTGACTTATATTTGCCATTAAAATTATGCGGTATTGCTTATTCTATATTACCAGTCATAATGCAAGAAAACAATGAGCAGGATGAAACCATACTTTCGCGTTTTAACCAGTTAAGCTAATGAGCGGTTGCTCAACGTTTCTCTTACAATGTTGTCAAATGTTAAACGAATTTATTTTTTGCGAAAACCCTGATTTCTGGGGTAAAAAATCAAGGCGGATTCATAAACTGCAAGTACAGAAGTTCTACAAAATGATGAAAATTACAATGTTTATATATTTTTCTTTGAGTAACACCATCACGGAAGAACATGTTTCAGGTGGTAATTCTTGTAGAAAAATACGGATTTTGCAGTTAAGCTCCGCCCCTCCGGCTCACGACGAACAAAACAAATCGTCACAATTGAGACAGGGTGGGTGGGCGTTGCTTATGTTATGCTTTTTTTCATATATACACAGTTTTCTCTTGACAACAAGAAACTGAAAATATGTTTAAAATGGTAAATTTTATCCCCCACACTTCTCTACAAATTTACCCTCTTCAACCTGTTTTCAGTTTCTTGTCGTGAAAAGAAAACTACGTACATAGATTAAGAAAAAAAAGGTGAAATACAAACCCCGCCCACCCGCCCTCGTCTCAATTGTAATAAGTTTTTTATTCGTTGTGAGCCGTACCATATGAAACATGCTTTTAAGTAACATGTTGTTGAAAGGAAACTATATATGTTAAGAAAAAAATAAAGTAAAAAATAAGGCCCGCCCACCCGCCCCAATCTCAATTGTGATGAATTTTTCATTCGTTGTCAGACCGAGGGGCAGAGTTTAATTGTAAAATTGATGTTTTCCGACGAAAATTTACGACTTCAAACATGTTTTAAATATCTTGTCCTGGAAAGAAGATTTTATATATTCAGAAACAAAGGCAAAATTTAAGCCCCGCCCACTCGCCGCCATTTCAGTTGCAACGATTGTATTCGTTCTGAGCCTGGGGGCGGGGTTTAATTGCAAAATCTTTATTTCTCTACAAGAACTTACCGTCCGAAACATGGTCATGGTGATGGTGTTGTTTAAAGAATCGACCATTGACTTGTTTTTTGCTATTTTATTAGTGATTAAAATTATGCAGTATTGCTTTGAATCACCCCGATACAGGTACAACAAGTAACAGTGCAAGAAAAAAAATGTTGTTGTTGTAAAATGTAAAATTTTGTTTTTTTTGCGAAAACTCGGATCTCTGGAGTAAAAAATCAACACGAATTCATAAACCACAAGTATAGGAGTATGCTATTTTATAAAATGTTGATCAAAATTTCATCAAATTTTTGGCGGGTATGAATTTCGTTAATATAATTCTCAGTAATCTCAATAGTCTCAATAATACATAAAATTTCGCTGGATAGATACTGTAACAAATTTCTTAGCTTACGCTCGACAAATAAAAACGGATGTGCAAAAAACGCCATTTACGTTATTTATTTTTTATTTATTTTCAAGTGTAATAAAATAATTTCAGATTACAGTGAGTCATGTAAATATTTTTTGTGTCTTTTATTAAAACTTGAATGTGTACAAATGATGAAAGCGATATCTGGAACATGTGCATTAAAAATTCATAAATTCCGAGGATTTGTTTGTTTCATCAAATTTTTAGATTATGAAATTTTAATCAAAGACATAAAAAATATTTCCTCAATCCACTTTAATTTTGTTTGTTTTATCACTTGTTATTTCCCGAGCATAAGCTAAGGAAGTATTGTAATACTTCCATGCTTTCTAGACGTTTCATGATACTTAGTGTACAAAAAAGTAGATCTCTCGTTTCCGTCCAATAATTTAAATACGTCCTCTCAACATTTTGCGTAGTTAAGGATCTAAATTTTATGAAATAATATACCCCTGTACACGTGGTTTATGAATGCGCTTTGATTTTTTATAACAATTACTTTACAAGCATTTTTTAGGCGCTATAAACCCTGTGCTTCGTAGTCGAGTGGAATTGATAATAATTGACTCTCAGACTTCGGTTCTAGGGTACGAATCTCATCCTTATCGAATGTTTTTTTTCCACTGTCACTTGTTTCAAGATATGTCCATAGTACAAAAATATAAAATTTGTATAATTAAATAAAATAACATATTCTTGTATTTGTGGTTTATGAATCCGCCTCAATGTTACCTTGCATAATAACATTTTATAGCAGTATAAGAGCAACGTAAACCAAGGAACTCAGTTGGAGAATCGTCGTAATAATAATGGGCCACTTTTTATAGTGGAAAGTCGATAGGACAACTCGTTTTTGAAACCAAATTTTTAAAAAATCTCAAAAATTGATATTATTTGTTTTACTTTGGCGATTCTGGAAAAATTGTAGAAATGTTTATTGAAATGAAGGCAAAAATGGGTTCTGGAGGTCGAAATATACAAAAACATTCAGTTAGATAATTTTTTAAAATGGTCGAAAAGTAATCGAAAATTTCTAAATTTGAAAATATTGAAAAAAAGGCCTTTGGGAAAAGTTGGTTAAAAATCCACAAAAAATTATGGAACAATCATTTCAACGAATTGACTCCAAAAATATGACTTATTGATGGTCCTAGTTCAAAATTTAGGGCACAATGAAAATTGAAGCCCTAAATTTTTGGTTTAAGACACATTTGACGCGATTTCGAAAAAACTGGGTGGCCACAAATTATTAAAAAAATCGTGTATGAGCAGGAATGATGTGCATATCTGGGAAAATATTCCAAAATCGATAAAGCAACTGGTTTTGGAAATATTCGGTTCCAAAACCAAATTTTTAATACTCCTATATCTCAAAAACTGACACATTTTACTGTGGAAAATCTGGAAAAATAGTAGACAATTTTGCAGAAATGATACTGAGAATGGTTTCTGGAGCTCGAAATCTATAACAACATCCAAAGATGTAATTTTCTAAAATGCAGGAGGAAAAGTTGTCTAAAAATCCACAAAAAATTCTTAGAGATAGATTTCAAAGAATTGACTCCAAAAGTATGACATGTTGATGGTCCTGGTCCAAGGTTTAGTATCATCGTTGAAAATTCTGGAGCAATTGTAACATTTTGTTAAGAATGAATTTAGCACGATTTCGAAAAACTGGTTAGCCAAAAATTATAAAAAATAAATCATGTTTGAAAACGAATGATGCATCTGTCTGGGAAAATAATCCAAACACTGGTTTTCGAAACATTCTATTTTTGAAATCAAATTTTTAAAATATCTTAAAAATTTACAGATTTTAATTCTGCGATTCTGGAAAAATTGTAGAAATTTTTGAAGAAGCAAAGCCGAAAACGAGCTTCTGGAAGTTAAAATCTACAAAAAATTTTTTTTTATAAGTTTCGAAAATGGTTCAACAATAAAATCGAACATTTCTGTGAGCCCCATATTAAAAAATACATACTTCTATAAAATGTGTGGAATTAAATAAAATAACATATTCTTGTATTTGTGGTTTATGAATCCGCCTCAATGTTACCTTGCATAATAACATTTTATAGCAGTATAAGAGGAACGTAAACCAAGGAACTCAGCTGGAGAATCGTCGTAATAATAATAGGCCACTTTTTATAGTGGAAAGTCGATAGGACAACTCGTTTTTGAAACCAAATTTTTAAAATATCTCAAAAATTGATATTATTTATTTTACTTTGGCAATTCTGGAAAAATTGTAGAAATATTTTATTGAAATGAAGGCAAAAATGGGTTCTGGAGGTCGAAATATACAAAAATATTCAGTTAGATAATTTTCTAAAATGTTCGAAAAGTAATCGAAAATTTCTAAATTTGAAAAAATTGAAAAAAAGGCCTTTGGGAAAACTTGGCTAAAAATCCACAACAAATTCTGGAAAATATATTTCAACGAGTTGACTCCAAAAATACGACATATTGATATTATTGGTTCAAAATTTAGGGCACAACGAAAATTTAGGTCATATTTGGCTCGATTTGAAAAAACTGGGTGGCCAAAAATAATGAAAAAAATCGTGTATAAGCAGGAATGATGTGCATTTCTGGAAAAAAAAATCCACAATCGATAAGACAAATGGTTTTCGGAATATTCGGTTCCAAAATCATATTTTTAAGAGATCTCAAAAATTGACACTTTGGAAAATCTGGAAAAATTGTAGAAAATTTTAAGAAAAATGACGCTGAAATTAGCTTCTGGAGGTCGAAATCTACAAAAACATCCAGTGATGTAATTTTCAAAAATGGTCGAAAATTAATCGAAAATTTCTAAAATATCTAAAATTGAAAAAACGAACTTTCGGAAAAGTTGTCCAAAAATCCACAAAAAATTCTGGGAGATAGATTTCAAAGAATTGACACCAAAAGTATGACATGCTGATGGTCCTGGTCCAAGGTTTAGTACCATCGTCGAAAATTCTGGAGCAATTGTAACTTTTTGTTAAGGATGAATTTAGCGCGATTTCGAAAAACTGGTTAGCCAAAAATTAAAAAAAATTAATCCTGTTTGAAAACGAATGACAAAAAAAATATATAAAGTTTGTTGAATTAAATAAAATAACGTACTCTTGTATTTGTGGTTCATGAATCAGCCTCGATTTTTTACCCTTGACATTCAAATTTTCGCAAAAAAATCCAAACCGTTTTTTTGTGCTGAACCAATAAAAAAACAATCCTAATTTTTATTTCAATCTGATTAGAAAAAAAGAAAATTTTAAATTTATGTAGCTGTATATTTGATCTGTTCGGTGTTTTTGCTATTTATTTGGTTTTTTTATATTTTACTGGCACACTCGTATATTGTAAAAACAACAGACGAAATTGCAGCGCAAAATAAATATTGATTTAAGCTCTTTCTCGTACAATAAATGAAATCCAAGCAAATAAAATTCGTTAGCCTTTTTAAACAGTCATTACCGATTTTTCCTCATCCATTAACGCAAATACCCGTCTTATCCGGCTACCTACTACAGATACATAAATATTTTTACACAGGGGGTTTAATAAAAAAACATTTACATGACTTCATTCAGATTTTGACCTACAAAACCCACCGAATAATACATTTAAAAAACTTGCTCTTCGAATCACAAAATATTCAATCTTTGTCAGAAATGTTAAAAAAAAACTGTAAATTTTCCTCGGAATTAAAATGCTGACTCACAATTTAAAATTGTTGCCAAAAATTGATGCAGCTCTCAAATGTTTATGAAGGACGTCAATTAATTTTATTTTTTAATTTTGTGTCAAAAGGAGGGAAAGTTCATCATAAACGTTTTTAATTTGAAATACAATATCGAATAAAATACGACCTTTGGCACAGTCAACATATTTTTGGATAAAACCTTGTTGTTCTTATAAATGCACTTAGTGTTGTTAAAATATGTATAAACATAAATTTTGTTTGCGTTCGTACAAACATCCCGGCAATAAATTATTCGAACATAAATTTTCTCATAGCCAAAAAAGCTTGGAATTTGCTCGCAATTTAAAATCGTATTTTAAAAAACGTCGCTTCCCCTATTTAATTTGAAATTTTGCTTTACAAAATTGTATCGCGCGTTCCAGACCAATAAAACAGCTATAACTCCGTGAATGTTAGCCTATGCTTAAAACACCGCCACCGAGTAATGAAATGAGAGCTCGATTTTTAGTGTAACAAGTAATAAGGGCTAAAATGTCAATATAAAGCGCATTATTAAAATTTGCATATTACGATAAGAGAGTAAAACTCGCTGTCTACGAAAGCTCAACATCGTCGCAAAAGATGCACTAAATTAAAGCGCTTGATTCACGATCTTCCGTCTTCTAGGTATTATGAAGCTCCGAAGTTTCAGCGAAATGTCGAAAATCTCGTACGACCAAACCCAGTCCCTTCTGAATTCGCCGATATCCCACTCGTTAACAAGCTTACCGCTTGTGAACCGTCTTCGAAACTGAAAACCTAACGCGATTTTCCGACTTACTTGTTGACGTTATGCATGTCGACAGCCCTTTTTCCATATCCCCTAGCTGTGCCCAGGTCCATGTTGTGGTATTTGAGATGTTCGATGCCTCGAGTTAATCTTTGTTGAGGAGTTCGCACTTGAGGATATTTCGAGTCCCGTCGTCCTTGAGCGCTGGACACCAGGAGCAACCAAAGGAAAAATATCAACGTTGAGAATAACGCAGCATGATGGAACGCCATACTGAAAAAGAAAAAAGAAAAACGAAAAATGTAAGTAAATTGATTTGGTTGCAGAACAAGACGTTTTATTGGTTTTTATTTTCACGGATGCAGCTAAAGTGTGTTGTGATAGGGTCATTCGGCAATTTACAGCTCGTAAAACACGATCTGTTGGCAATTTTATGGATAGATAGTCTTTGAAACTGCAAAATTTATTACTTAGAAATACTAAATGTATTTTAAGTTTACTCTAGAAGTGGTAAATCGGGAAGTGAAGTATAGTGGCTCTTCCCATTCAGAGCATTTATGACGTCATTTTCAAAATCTCATTATATGTAACGAGAGTCATACCAGAAATTACCTAATGGTCATCTAGGAAATTTTACTAAGGCCCTAAATTTCATTTACAATTAATTATTGCGTCGATTTAAATATGTAACAAAAAAAAATTAATTTTTAAAATCTGTCTAACAATCTTTTGTGGATATAAATAAAAGTACCTAGAAGTTTTGTCGTGGCATAAATAAAATTGAGCCTAATACTGGGTTTCAAAGTTAACTTTTTAAAGTATCCCAAAAATTGACACATTTTACTTTGACGATTCCAGAAAAGTGGCAGAAATTTTTAAAGTGGTGAGTACTGAAAAAATGAGCTTTCGAAAAAGTTGTTTAAATATCCACAACAAAATTTGAGAGATAGATTTTGACAAGTTGCATCCAGAAATAGACATGTTGATAGATTTAGGAACATCAATGAAAATTCTGGCCTCAAATTTTTAAGCCAAAGGCATATTTGACCGAATTCGAAAAAACTGGATGATCAAAAAGTATGAAAAAAATCGTATTTGAGAAAAAATGATGCATCTATTTGAGAAAATAATCGGTTCCAAAATCAAATTTTTAATATTCATATCTCAAAAATTGACACATTTTACTTTTCATATCTCAAAAATTGACACATTTTACTTCGGAGATTGTTGAAAAAATTGTAGAAAATTTTGCAGAAATGAAGCTGAAAGTGGCTTCTGGAGGTCGAAATCTACAAAAACATCCATTTATGTAATTTTCCAAAATAGTCGAAAAGTAATCGAAAATTTCTAAAATTGAAAAAAATTGAAAAATGAGCTTTCGGAAAACTTGTCTAAAAATCCACAAAAAAGTCGTGGGGGGCAGATTTCGACGAGTTCAGTCCAGAAATATGACATGTTTATGGTCTTGGTTCAAAATTCAGCGGCGCAATGAACATTCAGGCCCTAATTTTTTTAAGACATATTTGGCTCAATTCTGAAAATTCTGGGTAACCAAAAATTATGAAAAAAATCGTGTATGAGCAGGAATGATGTGCATATCTGGGAAAATAATTCAAAATTGATAAGGCAACTAGTTTTCGAAATATTCAGTTCCAAAACCAAATTTTTAATATGTATATCTCAAAAATTGACACATTTTAGATTGGCGAATCTGGAAAAATTTAGAAATATGAAGCTAAAAATGGCTTGTGGAAGTCGAAATCTACAAAAACATCCATTTATTTAAATTTTCAAAATGGTCGAAAAGTAATGGAAAATTTCGAAAAACTGAGCTTTCGGAAAAGTAGTCTAAAAATAAAAAAAAAATTCTGGGTGATAGCATTCGACGAGTTGAACCCAGAAATATGACATGCTGATGGTTCTGGTCTAAGATTTAGGGCCATCAATGAAAATTTTGGCCTTCATTTACTTTTAACGACATTTGGAGTGATACTGAAAAACTAGTTGGCCAAAAATTACAAAAAATCGTGTTTGATAAGAAATGATACGTCTATTTGTGAAAATAATTCAAAATCGATAGAGCAACTGGTTTTCGAAATATTCGGCTTAAAAATATTCCAATGAGTGAAATCTAAAAATATGACAAATTGATGGTCCTGGTTCAAAATTTGGGCCCCAAATTTTAAAAAAAATATATTTGGCCGATTCCGAAAAAACTGGGTGGCTAAAAATTACGAAAGAAATCGTGTACTAGCAAGAATGATGTGCATACCTAGGAGAATAGTCCAAAATCGATAGGGCAACTGTTTTTCAAAATATTCTTTTTCAAAATCAAATTTTTAAAATATCTCAAAAATTGGCACACATTATTTCGCCAATTCTGGAAAAATGGTAGAAATTTGTGAAGAAAAGAAGTGGAAAATGGCTTCTGGGGGGTCGAAATCTACAAAAACATCAATCTATGTATTGTAATTTTGCAAAATGGTCGAAAAGTAATCGAAAATTTCTAAAACTGAAAAATATAAAAAAATGAGCTTTGGCAAAAATCGTCTAAAAATCCACAAAAAATTCTGAGACCGATTTCAACGAGTTGATTCCAAAAATATGACATGTTGATGGTCCTGGTCCAAAATTTAGGGCACAATGAAAATTCTGGCCCTAAATTTTTGTTAAAAACATATTCGGCCCATTTCTGAATAAACTCAATGGCCAAAAATTATGAAAAAAATCGTGTTTGTGAATAAATGATGCTCCTATTTATGAAAATAATCCAAAATCGAAAGTAGAACTGGTTTTCGAAATATTCGGTTCCAAAATCAAATTTTTAGTTTCTCCAAAATTAGCACATTTTACTTTGGCGATTTTGGAAACATGGTGGAAATTTTTGAAGAAACGGAGCGGAGAATAACTTATGGAGGTCGAAGTCTACAAAAACGTCTATTTACGTAATTTTCTAGAATCATGGAAACGTAATCGAAAATTTTTAAAATTGAAAAAAATGAAAAAATGAGTTTTCGGAAAAGTTGTTTCAAAGCCCACAAAAAATTCTGGAACAAAGATTTCAACGAATTGACTCCAAAAATATGCCAGGTTGATGGTCCTGGGTCAAAATTTAGGGCATTATGAAAATTCTGGTTCTAAATGTTTGACATATTTGGTTTGATTCCGAAAAAACTGGACAACCAAAAATTGTGAAAAAAAATCGTCTATTGGCAGGAATGACGTGCATATCTGGGAAAATAATACAAAATCGATAGGGCAACTAGCTTTCGAAATATTCGGATCAAAATCAAAATTTTGATATAACTCAAAAATTGACTATTACATATATTTTGACGATTCGGGAAAAATTGTAGAAATTTTTAATAAAATGAACCGGAAAATGGCTTCTGAAGATCGAAAAATACAAAAACATCCATTTGCGTAATTTTCTAAAATGGTCAAAAAGTAATCGAAAATTCCTAAAACTGAAAAAATGAGCTTCCGGGAAAATTGTCTAAAAATCCACAAAAAATTCTGGGAGAGAGGAATCCAGAAGTGCACATGTTGATGGTCCCAGTCCAAGATTTAGGGCCATCAATGAAAATTCTAGCCCTAAATTTTGTTAAAGTTAAGAATACATTTGACGCTGATTCCGAAAAAACTGGGTGGCCAAAAATTATGACAAAAATCGTATTTGAGAGAAAATGATGCGTATATTTGTAAAAATAATCCAAAATCAATAGGACAACTGGTTTTCGAAATATTCGGTTCCAAATTCAAATTTTTAAAATACCTCAAAAATTCACACATTTTACATTCTGCAAAAATAGTAAAAATTTTTAAAGAAATGAAGCGAAAAATAACTTTTTGAGGTCGAAATCTACTAAAACAACCATTTAGGGTCTGGGAGATAGATTTTGACGAGTTGAATCCAAAAATATGACATATTGATGACATCATGACATTTTTGTTAAGGGCGTATTTAGCGCGATTTCGGAAAAATTGAGTGTCCAAAAATTATCAAAAAATCGCGTTTGAAAAAGAATAACACATCTACTTAAAAAAATAATCCAAAACCGATATGGCAACTGGTTTCTGAAATATTTAGTTTCAAATTAAAATTTTTAAAATATGTCAAAATATGACATTCTTTTCTTTGGCGATTTTGGAAAAATTGTAGACATTTTTGAAAAAACTAATACGAAACTGGCTTATGGAGATCGAAATGTACAGTAAAACCTTTTTCGAAAATATCCAAAAAACGGTGGAAAATTTCTATTGAAAAAAATAAGCTTTCCGAAAAGTTGTTTAAAAATCCACAAAAATTATAGGAGAGAGGTCCAGGGTTTAAGGTCATCAATGAAAATTCTAACCTTCAATTTTTTTAAGGACATATTTGGCGCGATGCAAAAAAAACTGAGTGGGCAAAAATTATGAAAAAAACCGTGTTTGATAAGTAATGATGCGTCTATTTGGGAAAATAATCCAAGATCGCTAGGCCAACCGGTTTTGAAAAAATTCGGTTCCAAAATTAAATTTTTAAAATATTTCAAAAATTGAACAATTCTGGAAAAATAGAAATTTTTGAAAAAATGAAGCGAAAAATGGCTTCTGGAGGTCGAAATCTACAAAAAATCTTCTCTTCTTACTTTTCGACCATTCTAGAAAATTACTCGAAAATTTCTAAAATTAAAAAAATGGGCTTTCGGAAAAGTTGTCTAAAAATTCACAAAAAATTCTGTGAGATAGATTTCGAGGAGTTGATTCCAAAAATATGATGTTGATGGTCCAAGATTTAGGGCCAACAAGGAAAATTCTGGCCCTAAATTTTTGTTAACAACATATTTGACAAGATTCCAGAAAAACTGAGTGGCTAAAAATTATGAAAAAAATCGTGTTTGAGAAGAAAAAAAGCACCGATTTATGGAAATAATCCAAAATCGACAAGGTAACTGGTTTTGAAAATATTCGGTTCCAGAATCAAATTTTTAAAGTATCTCAAAAATTTACAGAATTTACTTTGACGATTCTGGAAAAGTGGTAGAAATTTTCGAAGAAATGAAGCTGACAATGACTTATAAAGGTCTAAATCTATAAAAAAAATCCATTTAAGATATTTTCTAAAATTCTAATTGTCTAAACGAGCCGAATCCAAAAATATGACATGTTGATCCAAGGTTTCGAGCCATCAATGAAAATTTTGGTTTTCAATTTTTTTTAAGGACATATTTGGCTTGATTCTGAAAAATCTGGGTGGCCAAAAATTATTGAAAAAATCGTATTTGATAGGG